CCTCAGCCCCATTCCCTACAGATTTTTGCTCTGAGTTTGCAGTGAGGCCTGCATAACTGTGGATTTAAGAAGTTCCAGGGGTCATGCCAGGCACCCCTGGTAGATAAGAGTGGACTGCTGAGGTCTTGGCTCTTGAGGGCAGAACCTTTTTCTTCCATAACCCAACATTCTGGCACAGGGCCCAGCACAGAGGAGCAGCTTAATAAATGCTTACGCCTGTTGGATGATGATTTAATCTTAATGATGTCCAATCCATCATTCCATTTCCCAGAGTGGATTACATTTGGCTGGCCTTGAGTTCATTTTCCACTCTGCTGCTTCCCAAATGCCTCTTTCAACTCATTTTACCCTCCAGATACTTTGCTCCCCTTCAAATCTTGCAAAGATCCATGCTAGTAGGAAAACTCAGCAGAATTTCCTCTTTCCCACCAGTGTTTTTTCCTTTTCCCTCATTCTCTTATAGACATGAACTCTCTCACGTCTTTTCCTCTCTCTGACTTCTCAATTCTTTTTTCTAGCTCTACCACTTAACTGCTTACTGCTCTTCTGTGACATTTTACCTTTGACTACTGAACACGGATATTTTCCTCACAATCTACAGGTAGAAAGCAGAACGTAGGAAATGAAGAACTACTCAGAAAAAAAAGGATATTTTTTCATCATACAAATATCATCTCCATTTCAATTCAAATTAAATCAAGAAACTTCCACTGAGTATCCACTACGTGGCAGGCATTCTCTGGGCCAGGGAGTCAAATGTGAATCAGATATCATCTATGACCTCCAGTCACAGGAGTCTGGGCCTAACAACCAACTAGGGGAAGGTAACATATAAACAGATTATAAATAAAATGCAAGATGCTTCATATTAGACAATGAGAGCAAAGTACAGCGGAGGAGTAAGAGAGAGACATCAACTCAATGTTGAGGGTAGGATAGCAATCGAGGAAGACTTCAGAGAATAGATCCCACTTAGGTCTTAAAAGGTGTATAGAAACTGTCAGACAGACAATGGCAGCAAGAGTTTCCCAGGCAGAGAGAGCAGCAAGAGCAAAGGCGGGGGTGTGGGCAGCAACTAGCTGCCAGGGCTCCCTCAGGGAAGGGAGGATCCATGTCCCCCTTCTGGTGCTGAAGGTCACAGTATCGACTTTATCTCCTAAGCTTTTAAAGGAGGCCCCCAGTCGGCCAAGGAAAAGCTCAGTGTGTATAATGAGGGCAGAGTTGCTGCAGCAAAAGAGCTAGAATCAACTGGAGTTGGTAAAGTAAAACAAGGAGGAAACTGCTCACAGAACCCTGCAGACTATCTGATGTGCTGTGGAAAGACGTTCACCACTGTGGACATCTCTGCACCTTTCCACTCATAAAATGCATTACTGAAAGCGCAGTACAATTAGTGTCAGCTACAGGGAGGTGGCAGAAAGTCTGCTAAGGATGACAAAGTAAGATGCAGGAGCAAGAGAGTCACACGGTACCAAGTAACAACTATCAATGATAAGGAACAAATAAATAGAAATTGAAAAAAAATCAACATAACAATTATTTGGATAAATTAGTCAATGCTTATATAAATATACAAATATATATTCACATTTAAATATATTTTTTTTACATTGCTCTTGCTTGTCTGTAGTCTCATAATGATTAAGAACAGGGGCTATAACACAAATTGACGTGAGTTGATTCCCAGCATCCTTGCTATCTGTGTGACTTTTAGCAAATTACTTAAATATTCTAAGCTTCAATGTCCTTATCAGTAGAATGTGGGTAACAGAATGTTACCATATAGATTATAATGAGGATTAAATAGGACAAAATGTAATATAAAGTGCTAATGTAGTCCTTGGAGCAAAGGAGATGCTCAGAAAATAGTAAATATTAATATAAATGGTTATTATTAAACTTTTATAGGCCTTCACGATAGCTCTTTGCATATTGTATTCTATTTAGTAATTCATGTGCTGAACTAGAGTTCCATTAGTCCTTCTTGCCACAGGTAGTAGGCGTATATTTCATGCCGGTAGTCATGATAGTGTTAAAATCCAGGCTAGACTTGGAAACGTCACTTGTTCATTCAGAGTTTCTTGCCTGGCTGGCTGCTTATTGTTCAACTTCTAAGCTTTTTACTTTGGAAATTTTCTCTTCTTTCTATTAAGTGGCCTTAAGTGCTGTCATAAGTCAAAAAATATGGGAGCTAAAAACAAGTAAAGAGTATTCTTTTAGACTTCAATATTCCAGATGAATCAGAAATCAATGTACTGAGAGATGTTGCATATCTCCGTAAATTTATTTCTCATGTACCAACTGTCAATCTGTGCAAGTTCCTAGTGTGTCTGTGTGTGTGTGTCTGCGTGTGTGTGTAAACGGTTCCTCTGCAACCACACATTGACAGTGATACTTCGCTCAGATGGCCCCACTAATTTTAAGCGGTAAATGGACCTTTCAGGGGCCATATTCCTTTTCCATTAGAAAAGTAATTTTAGCTCCTGCGATTCAGTCCCTGAAATCAGGATGCTGGGGTGAAACGTGTAGTCCTCAAATACAATGTGTACACTGAAATGGTGCTAAATATAGCTCTGGGCCTAGAAGAAAGCGTTCACATATTCTGTATCTAAGATGATCCTTACCACATCACCACTATAGCTAATACAATCAACGAAATTCTACTGAGTCCTGCATCATACCAGGATGGATGGTTGGGGCTTGACTCCAAATATTTTATTTGTTTCTGGTAGATTCAAGAGAAGGAAGCCTCAAAGTAGAGAAAGGGAGCTGGGAGTATTCAAGATATGCTGGAAGGACCCAGTGCCTCATAAACACGCCTGACTATCCTACCCCACACTAACACATGAGGTGAGAGGTAAACCATTTGGTCTCACTCTTCAGGAGCCTCAACTGCACCTGAATGTGACATATTTTTATCACTCTGGGAAGGACAGCAGTGACAGAGAGGCATTCTTGCTGTGCAAAGTGAACTCAGGTATAAAGATTGGACTTGGGTTTGCAGAGGAGAGAGCAAATCCAAAATGGAAGTTAGAAGGAGAGAAAAGGGCTTTGGTGCTTTTCAAGGACACAGACTAGTGACTGTGTGAAGGGGTGGCTTGAGGAAGCTTTAGTAACCCCCAAATACCTGTCATCCTACTCCCCCAAAGCCACCCAAATAAGCATGCAAATTACCTCAGTGGTTTCAACTCTGGTTGAAGGTCAGAATGAGAGGTTTTAAAAGATACATAAGGTCAATTAAAGCAGGATATCTGGGCATGTGACCAGGCACAGCGTTGTTGTTTATTTTTTAAACTTCTGGAGCAACTCCAATGTCCATCCAGATGGAGACTCACTGTTCTAAGTGAACACGGTGCCCATGCACTGAAAACAGAGCTCCAAGGCATTTCTTCTTGACCCCTCTTCCAACCAGCTGACTGCTCCCGTCCTCCACTAATAGAGACATTCTAGAGTTAGCAATGACAGGAACTGCCTTCTTTTCTAACAGCAGAGCTAAGTTTATTAGGATTAGTGCAGAATGTTGCAAACCCCAGTCTCTTCCTTCCAGGCAAATCCGGCCCTTTACAGAAAAACGTTTGCCAACATTTGAAGTAGGTGACAAATATTGAGTCATCTCATCTTCAGATCTAAATAGCAGCAGCAGCAGCTAATGTTAACTGACATCTTCTGTGAGTTGGACACTCTTTTAGATGTTTCATATATATATATCAGTAATGCTTATAACTCTGCATAATAGATATTATTGTAAAATTCCAAAATATATCTAGATTCTCTCTTCTCTTCCCATACACTGCGACCATCTTAATCCATGCCCCCATCATTTTGTCACCACAACTACTGCAACAGCCTCCTGCTTGGTCTCTTTCAATCTTGCCCCATCCAATCTAGTCTCTACACAGTAGCCAGGGTGATCTGTGAAAAGCAGAAAGAGGCTTGCTTACAGCCCATTAGTGGCTTCCACTCCTCTTGGAATAAAAGCTAGACTCCTCCCAAGATCTGCAGAACCCAGCATGATCCAACTTCTGCTCCTGCTCCACCCTCATCTTGTGCCCCTCTTTCCCTTGCCCTCTGTGCTCAAGCCATGCTGGCTCCCTTCCAGTTTGAGAACATGCTATTCTATTCCTACCTTATGACCATCAAATGTTGCTTCTGCACAGTATGCTTGTCCTGACTCCCTTCAATCCTTCAGGGCACGGTTGAAATATCACCTCCACAGAGAAGCCTTCCTTCTTCACCATCTAAGTAACCACTCACTCTCTCTCCATTTGTTTTCTGTCACTCTGCCGTATTTGTTCCCGTCATCACACTTACCATACTTAGCAAGTATTTATTGTAGCGTTAGCGTTTTTGTCGGCTTCTCCCACTGGACTCCCAGCACCTCACTGACAGGGGTCCCATCTCCTATAGTCACCAAAGTGCCCACAGTGCTCAGCACAATGCCCAGTACTTAGTCACTTTGTAAGAAATATTTCTTAGATGAACAAAGTCCCTTTTACAGATATCAAATAAGCTAATTAACTTGCCTAGATCAAAGATCTATAGCAACAATTACAGAAATCTATCTCTCAGAAGGAAAAGAACATTCTGCTTGGGTTTGTTAAACAATCTCTCTCAAAAAAAAATCACGCTTATCCTGAAGACCTTAAATGACTGTAATTGTCCTAAATCTCCTTTGCTCCACACATAACCTAAGCCACAGCTGCAACTGTCCATGTGCTAAGTACATCCAGCTGGTAGCTTGAGGTTGGAAGGATTTTGCAACAGTGGAAATCCTTAAATTGTTCAACTGTGCTTGTCACAAAACATTTCTCTTAAGGGCTTTCTACCCTACCCAGTGGAAAACCCCTGTGTTTTATCAAGTTGTAATCCAGTTGGGCCACTGATGGGATTTCCCTTTGGCCAAAGAGGGATGCGGCCATTCACGTCAGCAAGCATCTTCCATTGCCATCTTGGGCATTGTAGTCAACTTCTGATGGATGGAGCCACCAGGAACTTCTCACCTGCACAGTTCTGCTGAGGCTCCCAATGGACAGTGATGCCCTCTCTCTGGCAGGCCCGGGTATATGCCAGGAATGACTCACAGTAACAGTTTTTATGGACTGGACATTCACACATGTCTGTCACGCAGGACCTAGGGACCCAAGAGAAAGAAATGAACATTTAAAAATATCAAACTATCAAACACCCTAAATGTGACTTGAAGAAAGGGCTGGGTGGGTGGGTGGATGGGCAACCTTGATTGGCCATTAAACGTTGTTATTTTAGGTAGAAAACCTAAAAATAGTATAAATATTCTGCATGAAACCTATGCTGGATACCTCTTAACAATGTGACATTAGGTTCCCTTTCTTCTAGAGCAGGACTGTCCAACAGAACTTTGTGCAATGATAGAAATGTTCTGTAATCTCTACTGTCAAAGCACTACCCGTATCTGTCTATTGAGCACTTGAAATGTATCTAGTGCAACTGAGGAATCAAATTTTGATTTAGTTTAATTTTAGTTAATTTAAGTGTAAATAGCCACATGCGCCCAGTGGTTACCATGTCGGAAAGGCAGTTCATAGAATAGAGCCACCATTCAAGGTGCTACTATTTTGGGAAAGCTCTGAAATAAGAATAATAGATTCTATTACTATATAACCAAAATAGTGACCAACTAAATGAAAGCATAAAATCCCATGGCTTTCTGAAGACACAACTAGGATTCACTTTTGCAATATCTTAGAATATTAGTCTTTTGAGGAATATTGAACCCCATTCTTTAGAATGTGGGGTGACAAATTGCAAATAAGGCAAATCTTTCAGACCCCTAATTAGACTGAAAGATATAGGACTGAACCAAGGTCCCCATAGCTTAACTTTAAATATGGAAAGCATGGACGAGAACGTAAAGAGAGCTGAGATGTGTTTAAATGCAAACTAACAAATTTTGAAACGTGTTGACCTCAAAGCCATAATAAATGACCTCATACTGGTCTATAGGTTCCAGTTGACAAAGCGCTTTCACATGCAGTCTGTCACTGGGTGCTAAATAGGACATAAATGAAGAGGTCATTTTACAAACGAATGGGTGGGCCCAAAGTCACATTAACAAGTGGCAAAAGAATGAGTTAAATTACATCTCCTGAAATTAGTGTTCTTTCTGTCATACATACCATAGTCCTCATTTTCATTTTCCAGCAAGTTTACTGCCTAACAATTTTGACTTAACATTGTGCACAAGGCTCCCAAGATTAATAAAATTAAACTACCCTTGTTTTTGTCATATCCTTGTTCAGTAAAACCTCTTCCTGACAGAATGTAATTCAAGGCTGAAAGCAGAAAAAGTAATATTCAAGATTAAAAGTAGCACAGATGATCTTGAAAAGTGATCAGGACATGGTCACCCAATGTTAACATGTCCACATGTTCTCTTGGTGCGGGACACATGTACACACCTGACTATAGAGAGGGACTAGCTAGCTCTGTGCAGAAGCTGATGAACCACCTGCTCTGAGCAAGAATTAAACAGCAGAAACCACAGTAAAGGATCAATAAACTCATCGTGTACCTGCAAAGTTATGACAGCTGAACATTCAAGGGCACAGCCTTGGGAAATATGAACTAACAGGGTCAAAAGAGAAACAGACCTGAAACCTAAAGAGCCTCGTCCATTTCATCAAGCGAGAGATTATTTGATGACTGATACCGAAGACCCAATAATCAGAATAAAAAAACTGATCTCTCTCCTCTCTGCAATAATCAGTATCTTAATATCTTTTCCCACGTGCATTACAGAAATCCTGTGAAATCACATTCACTAGCAAAACCCCTTCTGGTACTAGACATGCAGTGCTGTGTCTTTAAATTCACGTGGAGCCTCTGGGCTTTCAAGAAAAGCCAAATAAAGCCTGTCCTTAAAATGACCTCTAAATGTCTGCGAAGAAAACTTCCTCAACACCATTTCCTTTGTTATCTCAATTTTCATTTCAGACTAACCCTCACCCATCACATTAACGCTCAGACTTCACAGGAATGTTTTCGGCTGCCCCAGGTTCTACTCTCTAATCCACTTCTACTTCACTTTCCCAGCACACTTTCAGGGCCCACCACGTTTCCTGGCCTATGGGGTGCAGGTCTCTTTCCCTTTACACAGCTCCCACTGACGTGACATGGATGGAATGGCACCTAGTAGGCCTGCTAAAATGATGGTACTTGCATGGAAAAGAGCTGGTCTCAACATGAGGAAACGCATCCTCTGATTTGAAAGAATGTCTATGTAATTCTGTAAAATTGTGTGGACAGTAAACAAACAAAATTTAATTTATTTGGGTGAAAGGATCATTGGTGAATGTTTTCCTTCTTTTCTTTTTATTGCTACTGGTTGTCTTATGAAGCTATTTAGACAATTTAAAATAAGTTATGGACAACTAAATCCAATTCATTGAGACTATTGAGAGAAAATATTTTGAGTACATGTTTAACGATTGCTACGTACATATGCTCCACCCCGCCAACAGACCACTCTGTGCCCTCAGACACAATCAGTACTACAACTACCCTCTAAAACTAAGGAAGATTTGAGCTTATTCTATTACTTGGCACTCATGAAGAGCAACATTTGGGGCAAAGACGTCTGTGAAAGCCAGCCCTTCGCTTAGAATATTTCACATATATTTAAAGCCTTGAAAGATGTGTTTTGTCATGAAGTTAAAACTACAGGATGTCTTTTTTCACTTGTCAAGTTGATGATTTTTATACAAAATCGTGCCCAGGGTTTGGGAGAGAATGGAGAAATAGATGGTCCATACTCTGCTGGCAGAAGTGTGGAATTGTTAGCTCTTACATCCAGCACTTTGCTCTCCTCAGCTTTGACAAGGATTACCTCATTTGCTCCACACGGCAATGGGGTACAAGGCAGGTCTTATTACTAGCCCACTTAACAGACAGGGAAGCTGAAGCTTGCAGATGTTAACAATTTTCCCAAGGTCACATGGCTGATGACAGATCCAGAACTGCAGAACCAGGACTATAACTCAGGTCTTTCTGATCTCAACACTCATATTCATAAAAACTACATTGGAAGATCTCTCTAGAGAGTGATTTGGCAATATGTATAAATAGCCCTAAAAAAGGTTCTTATTTTTTGATAGAGAAATTCCACACCTAAGGAAATAGTAACGCGTGTGGACAAAGACTTCATATACAGGGGCTTTCATCACAATGCTATTTAAAATGAAAAAAAAAAGAGGAAATAATCTAAATTGCCTAGAGTAGGGGCCTAGTTAGATAAATTTAGGTGACTTCTACAATGAAATATTCTACAGACATTACAATGATGTTTTGGAAATACATTTTGAAATATATTTTTTAAAAAAGAGCAAAACTGTTTCAGTATTGTGTGGTCACACACAGAACACAAAAAAAACTGAAAACAGATATGACCAAATGTTCACAACAGTCAACTCTGAGCATGGACTGTGGCTCTTTTCATTTTCTTATCTGTATTTTCTACAATGAACACCTATCACTTTTCTAAAACGATAAAATCATGGTGTATTTTTAAAACAACATAAAGAATAACATGGGACATATTAATATTTAAATCAGAATTTAAGAACTAGAGTGAGAAAATAAAGAATAAACAATGGGAGAAAATCAGAGTATCCATTTGTAGGTCTTAGGAACTTAATATTTCTTCAGCTAAAATCTTTCCAATCGGTGGATCAGAGGCCTCCTGACATACGCTTTGATTCGATTCACTTTATGTTGTCCTTACACTTCCACTTCATTGGCCTGCTGACGCTGTGAACTTGACATCTGGATGGATGGAATGGATGGTGGAATAATTATGCATGCTTCTGATGGTTACAAAGGAATTCATTAAGAGAAAGATAAAAGCATCCTCAAATGTACTTCAAATTTCAGGGAGGGGCAAAACTATTGTTATTCAAATATTCAATTCATGTTTACCACACTTAATAATTCAGTATGAGGAAAATCTAATTTATGACACAGTGGAGTTGAACTTTTATATGTTAATGGAAGATTGTTGTACTTTCCTTAATCAGTATGCACCAATATTGTACATTTATATTCATTTTATAGAATAAGTAGCAGAATTTTATCACTTTAGTAGTTACTGAGATTTATGGCTCTGGTTTCTCTGCTTCCATGGCATTATTCTGTCACAGTTATGTTCTGTTCGATGTTGAGTTCTTGGTTAAGAAACACAGCCACTCCATTGCTCCAACGGAAAAACACAGGCTGCATTACAATTGGGCTCTTCCAGGAAAGTTCTAGAGGTAAAGAGTACCTGCCTGTGCAATCCCTTTCAAGCATACTTTCCATCAGGAGCTTTTTAATGAATATGTTTAGAAATGATTTTCTGATTTATCCACCCTGCTTCTAGCATCTTTGCTGACAGCAGAGACGTGCAGACACGACTCTTGTTCCGGGGGTTTCACACAGCTGGGCAGTGCAGTGGTATGGAAAGAGGATGCCAAGCGCTACTGCAGGGTCCCAGTGAGCTGGTGCCATGCGTGGCAGCACTTTCGTCACACACTAACTGCCTCCCTTCTCTAATCGCTTTATGTATGCATGGCGTGTTTCAGTAAGACTCTCTGATAGGCTTTCCTCATAGAACCAAGCACAGTATTGGTCTCAGAACTGACCTGTGGTCAGTCCCCTTCCTGAAATCTAACTTACCACAATTTATCTGCAGGGGAGCCCTCAACATCTTTCTTCCCCCCATCAAGTTACAACCACTGCCTCCTGCAAAGCTCTAAGACAGTAGCCACTAGCCACATAGAGCTACTTCAATGGAAATGTAAGTTAATTACAATTAAATAAAATTTAAAGTTCAGTTCCTCAGTCACACCAGCCACATTTCAAGTGTTCAGTGGCCACCATATTGGACAGCGCTGATTCATATCAGTTCCATCATCACAGAAAGTCATGCTGGATGGTGGTACCAAGACTACAGCTCCGTCTATGCTGGGAAACCATTCCTGTCCTCCCCAGAGAGATTCACAGGTGTAGAGAGATTAAGACCAAGTTTACTCCTGCTTTTTAACTGGGCACCTAGAGAAACTGCAAATTTCTTGGCAAAACATTCCAGGTCACTAGCAATCTAGATCATCCCTCTCTCTT